TATTCTTTTGTGTTTGGGTGAAATGTCTTATACATATCTTTTAGGTCCATTTGAATCATAACTTCTGTTAATCTCATTATTTCTCTGTTTAGTTTTTATCTCCAATGCCTGTCCATCAGTGAAAGTGGGTATTGAAGTGTAGCACTATTACTAATGTGTGGGGTTCAATGTGTAATAGAAGTCTTAGTAATGTTTCTTTTATGAATGTGGGTGTCCTTACATTTGGGGCATTGAAGTTCAGAATTGAGAAATCCTCTTGTTGAATTTTTACTTTGATGAGCATAGAGTTGTTTTCCATCTCTTTGGATTAATTTTGGTTAAAAGTCTATTTTAGTGAGTATTAGAATGGATAATCCAGCTTGTTTCTTGGGTCTCTTTGCTTGAAAAACCATTTTCAAGCCCTTTTATCTGAGGTAATGGCTATGTTGGTTGCTGAGGTATTTTTCTTTTATACAGTAGAATGAGAAATCCTGTTTACACATCTATTCTATTAGCATGTGTCTTTTTATTAGGGAATTAAGTCCATAGATGTTGAAAGTTATTAATGACCAATGATTGTTACTTGTTTATAGTTTGATGGTGGTGGTGGTTGTGTGTATGTGTTTATGTGTGTCTGTTTTTCTTTTTTAATTTTAATGGTGTGAAACTGTGCTTTCTTGAGTACCTCATTTGGTTGGATTTTTCTTTCTAGTATCTTCTGTAGGGCTGGGATAGTTGAAAGATACTGTTTAAATTTGGTTTTTCATGGAATATCTTGGTTTATCCATCTATGGTGATTGAAAATTTTGCTGGATATAGTGCTCTGGGCTGCCATCTGTAGACATCTGCCAGACCCTTCTAGTTTTTAGAACTTCTCTTTTGAGAAGTTGGATGTAATTCTGGTAAATCTGCCATTATATGTTACTTGGCCTTTTCCCCTTGCGGCTATTAATATTCTTTCTTTGTTCTGTATATTTAGTATTTTGATTATTATATAGAAGAAAGATTTTCTTTTCTGGTCCAGGCTGATTGATGTTCTGAAAGCTTCTTGTGCATTTATAAGCATCTCTTTCTTTAGGTTAGGGAAATTTTCTTCTATTACTTTGTTGAAGATGTTTTCTGGGCCTTTGAGCTGGAAATCTTAGGATTGATTGTTTCCTAGTATCCAAATTTTCTTGAATGTTTTGTGTCATGAATTTTTAGATTATTTTTTATTCTTTTTGACTGATGTATCAATTTCCTCAATCATATCTTCTATTCCAGTGATTCTCTATTCCATCTCTTATATTCTGATGGTGATGTTTGTGTCTCTGGTTAATGCTATTTTTCCTAGGCTTTCCATCTCCAGGATTGTCTCAGTTTGTGTTTTCTTTATTACTTACATGTCCATTTTCTGTTCTTGGACAGTTTTATTTCACCAATTTTATTGTATTTTCATGGATTTCTTTATATTTATTTTTTTCCTCTTTAAAGGCCTCTACCTGTTTGAGTGTCTTTTCCTGTATTTCTTTAAGGCATTTATTCAGTTCCTCTTTAAAGGGCTGCATCATTTTTATAAGATTGGATTTAAGATCATCTCCTTGTGCTTCAGTGTTAGAATATTCAGGGCATGCTGTAGCAGGATACATGGGCTTTGGTGGTGCTATATTTCTGGGCTCTTGTTAACTGTGTTCTTATGCTGTCCTTTGGCCATCTGATTTTCCCTGGTATTGAATGGAGGATCCTGATGCCAGCAGGAGTCCTTGAGAAGGCAGAAAGTGTCATGGGCTGGGCAATAGAGGTCAGAGGACCTGACTCTGCAGACTGTGCCTCAGGTCGGCCAATTGGCAAGGATTTGGTGAGGCAGTGCCAAACTGGTTGTTCTTGGGTCCCCCAAACACTTTCATGGTGAAGCAGGAAACTCTTAGATCCCCCAAGTCTCCTTAGGATGTAGAATCAAACCCAGTACCGGACAATAGAGGTCAGATGACTACCTGTGAGCAACTGAGCTCTGCTGATTATGCCCCAGAAGGACCATACTGGAAAGAATTGGTGGGGCAGGATTCTAAGCTGGTTGTTTTTGGGGTTCAACAGGCCTCCACATGGAGCAAGACACTCCTGAAGTCCCTCAAGGCAACTCCAGAAGGCAGGGCAAGCTCAGAGGCAGACAATGGTGATCAGGGGACTATGTGCATGCAACTCACCTCTGCTGGCTATGCCTCAGGTCCACTATACTCTGAGCACTACTCATATTATCCTCATGATAGAGTGTAGGCTTGACTTGATCTGATAATAGATACCATAGAGACAAAGGGTAAGTTCAGATGCAGACAGGAAAAGGTATGAATAGACACTTGATAATTTAAGTAGGCTGTATCAACAATAATAGATTTGTTGAGTCCCAGCACAGGTATATGTTTAACTTTTGAAGAAAATGTCAACCTGACTTTCAAAGTGACTACACCATTTGGCATGTCCTCCAGACATCACATGTGAGAACGCCAGTGGTCCCATGTCTTTTCCAGTACTGATTATGTGGTCCTGTAGTAGTGGTATTTCCTTGAAGATGATTCTACAGTCTTTAGTAGCTCTCTCCCTTCTTGCTTACAAATGAAAGATTTTATATTCACCCCCTCCATGATACACAGAATTTGAGAGTCTTTCCCATTCTACATGTTTACTAAGATCTCCACCATCCATGATGAATGGTCTTTGAATGATAGTACAGTGGGTGACAGAGCATTTGGGACCTTCCCTCAAGTCATGTTACATAGCAGCTAGGCTTAAGAGGACCGGCTCTGCAGATCACATAAAGGATCTACTTTTATGTCACTGAGCTTAGAACAGGGTAGCACTCAGTTCCATAGTCATCTACTCTCCCAAAGAGGGGGCTAAGAAGAGACAAAACATCTACCTATACAGGGCCTGGAAGCACAGAGAATGTGAGGGGAGACATTATATTTATAGCACACCTTATAGATGAGATGATTCTTTTTGTTTGTTTGTTTGTTTGTTTTGTTTTGTTTTGTTTTTCGAGACAGGGTTTCTCTGTGTAGCCTGGCTATCTTGGAACTCACTCTGTAGACCAGGCTAGCCTCGAACTCTCAAACTGAGAAATCTGCCAGCCTCTGACTCCCAAGTGATGGGATTAAAGGCATGTGCCACCACCGCCCGACTAAATGAGATGATTCTTATACTACACATTTCAAATACCAGAGAGAGATGGAACTGTCCTTTAGCCTTGGTTCAGTAGCTGGGAAGAGAATACCTCTTCTTATGAGTGCAAGAGGGTTGGTGCTGATAATTGTACTAGGGCCTCAATGCAGTATTTGGACTCCTGCTGCACACACACACACACACACACACACACACACACATCTGTGAGGTACTCATTTCTTCTGATATACAGACGCTTCACCAAATGGCCTTAAGAATTTCAGTATCTCTTGGCAGCCCCTTGGGATTCGGGAATCCATCATGGTCTTTCTTATGACGCGGCTCTGGCTGTGGAACCGCCTCACTGACCGCTGTTGGTGCGTTCAGGTGCTTAAACATGCTCGGCATTTTAGGGGAAGGAAGAATCGCTGCTACCGGCTGGCAGTCAGGGCTGTGACCAGAGCCTTCGATAAGTGTACGAAGTCCTGCAGACTTAAGAAGTGGAACCTGAGGACCCTCTGGATTAATCGAATTACAGCTGCCTCCCAGGAACATGACTTACAATACCCAGCATTTATTGTCAACTTAATTAAGTGCCAGTTGGAGCTCAACAGGAAAGTACTTGTGGACCTGGCCATCTATGAACCAAAGACATTTAAATCTTTGGCTGCTTTGGCTAAGAGGAGGCAGCAGGAAGGATTTGCTGCAGCTTTGGGGGATGGAAAGGAGCCTGAAGGTATCTTTTCCAGAGTGGTACAGTACCACTGAAGGCTTAAGTGCTATAGAAACTGTTGTAAACAAGATAGGACCAAAAGGTTTGTCACCAGTAAGTCTGATTTGTATTTATTTACATTTTAGTAACAGGCCTCAGACAACAGGTTTTTACTCAGTGACATAGCCCCAGACTGTCCTATAAAGATTGTACAAATAAAGCCTTTGCAATGTTAAAAAAAAATTCAGTATCTGTATTATATATTAAAAGCTTTCTTGTTTCTATACAACAAAATTTGCTCACTTACCAGCATAGATGGGTAAATTTTGCATTAAAATGTGGAATATCCAACCACCCACACTTAAGTATCAAACTACTTTTTTCAATATTATTCTCGATATCGATCTTTGCAAGCAAAGATCTGTTCCAGAGCAACCACTTTCAGATGCTGTAGTTCAGAAGCTGCATATAATTTGAAAATATCAGAGCCTGATCTGTCTTATGATGGTAAAGGAAATCTTTGTGACTGGTCCTGTTACTAAATAAAACCTCTTTGAGAGGCAAGTGTGTCATTTGTTAACAGTATCATTCCACATATGCACACAACACATTTTAGCCACTCCCCAGTTGATGCAGATCTAGCTGACCTGATTGTGACTACTTTTAATGGAGCTCTTATGAACCTTTTAAAGTATGAGTCTTTCTGATTGTTCTCTTCAATTCCTTGAACTAAAGATCTGAAGATGAATTAATCAGTCACAGGATAAATAATTTTAACCTTTAAAGAAACTGTCAAAGTGTCATCTATAATGACTCTATCATTTTGTGTCTCCTCTAGCCATATATAAGACTGCCACTGTTTCCACGTCTTTGCCATCATTTGGCTCTATGGATCTTAAATCTGATTATCCTGAATGGGCATAGAGAAGTATGTCATTGGATCTATTCTCATAGAGCTGAACTTCTGCTTTCTTTCTAACCCCCTCTCACCCTCCCTCACTCCCTCTCTCCCATCTTCCCCCCCCCTCAGTGTTTATGTGTATAGGAGTGTGTGTCTGTGTCTCTCTCTGTCTCTTACATCTCTGTCTCTATCTTTCATGATCTCCCTATTCACTCCTTCCTTCCACAGAGCAGAACCTGAATGTCTTCTTCATTTTACATTTTCACTGTGGCCATGGCCATCATCAACATGGGGCCTCTGAGTGATGGTGCAGTGAGTAACAGAGCACACAAGGATTTCCTAAGCTGAGCTGATTTCCTTTATCTAGAGCTACAAAGCACAGGAATGCCCAGGACCCGTTGGTTACTTCATCCCGAGATTGGAGTAACTCGAAAGTTCTCAGCCCTCATGGTGTAACAATTCTTTGGTCAGGGAATTTTGTGTAGTAAGAACAGATTCCAAGAAAGGCTAGGACCTCAGACAGGACAAGAGTGCATTGGAGGGGTGAAGTTAAATCAAAGGGCCCTTCTTGATTAGAGAAACCAGGAAAAACTGTACTGATTTTTCCCAAGGAAGCAGCCAGAGAGATACAACAAAGAAGTTCTGTAGTGCCATACTGCAGGCTCTGGATTTTTATTTGGATAGCTATGATGGCATGTTGGGCAGATCTCACGCCAGGGTCTCGCGGGGGTGGCCTGAGCGTGAGTGCGGGCCAGTGCCCATGCGCCCGCGCACGCAGATGTCAGGGTGGTCCTGGGAGCCGCAACCTCGGCCGGCAGTGACACTCTCTGCTACAAGCGGCTGCAGAGTCCCGAGAGCAGAGACGCCCAGACACTGTGTGCCAGATGAGACGGGGGTTGGGGGGACTCGAACAAAAGTGGGCGGAGAGCATCCCTCGTGTGCCTATGCTCAGCAAGAGCGTGGCATCGTGAGAACCTTGGCTCTCAGGAGAAAGTGTCCCACAGCTCGCTAGCTCTCTCCCACTCCTGCCCCATCGCATGGGTTTTGGCTTATGCAATGAGTCCAGGATTTCACGAGACATGTGGAGATTTAAGATGCATTGATTTATTAACAGATGTTGGGTTTGGGTAGTGGAGCTTTCCTGAAACATGTTGGAAGGTGATTGTTTATATATCAGAAGCAGGGGGAAGAAGAAGTGCGGGGCCAAGGAAATCTTGAGGCAGAGTTTTGGGACATGGAGACCTCGTGGCAGGGCTCTGGGGGCATGGCCGAACACCCAGGATTTTATAGTCTCACATCCCACCCTTTATTCTTTCATAAAATAGGGGGGCATCTCTGAAGGTGGAGTCATGTGACAAGTGACTCTCATGTGAGTCTCTCTGTGGGAGGGATTGTGGAAGCTGAAGCTGAGAGAGTTAGAAGGCTTGGGAGACCCGAAGCACCTGCTGCATTAGAGGCTAGTCTCAGAGACTAGGGCGCAGGGCTTCTAGGGCCTTACTACCAGGCTTTCTGGCCTACACAGCTCACTCTCTCACAATTCTCTCTCTTAGGAGAGGTGTCACCTGTGATGAAATTTTTGGATGAGGATGTCAAAAAAAATACCACACAGGTCAGGAGTGTAGTATAACCAAACCAAGGGTAATGGGAATTGAGGGTTGGGGTTGGGAAAGCAAGGAGTCATTGAATCAATTAAATACATATTGTACAATTTGAGAGTAATGACATCTGATTAATCTAAATAGACATTATGATTTCTTCACTAACATGTCACTTCAGCTATGTGACTTTGGCAAAAGTTCATCTGCAGTTGGTATCAAGTATCTCTGGGTCTTCAGGCAGACGAGATGACTGGAAGAAGGCAACTTGTCAGGTTTCAGGATATGGCGCTGTCTCGGCATCAGCTCATCTCTGGAGTCTGTGGTCTGATGAGATATAGGCAGCTTGTCTCTGTTGGATCTGTGGATATAATCACAGGGAAGCAGCATCTCTGGCAGGGAGATGTCTGAAAGGTGAGCATTGAATCACTCTTGGAAAGCCAAAGGTATTTGAAAAAATTGGATGGCTGAAGGAGGAAACATTGTGTTAATAACATCTGTGGTAGACATCCACAGTTTATCTGTGAAGGAAAATTAGTTGTTAATTAAAAGCTGAAAGGTGTTGATCAGCTTGTTGATTTAACCTGTGGAAGTAAATTTAGATGACTTTCAAACCTTGAAGAAGAAAAAATAATTTTAAAGAGTCGAAGAAGGTGTTGGACATATATCACAAGTATTAGAGAGAAAAGGAAATATTAAAACAAAAGGCAAAAATTTTTTGGTTAAAAAGCGCAAACGTTACTGTAGATATTCCTGTTTGGGAGAAAATTATTAATGAAGGGCCTAAAAGCAGTGGGGGGAGGGGGCCTGTTAGAAGCCAGGGCATTCCTCCCTTTGTTTTTCTTAGAGAAAAGAAAGGCTAACTTTGAAGAAAAGTTCAAAGCGAAAAACATAGAAGTTTGAGAACAGAGTCAGAAGGAGTAAAAGGTTGTGTAAGACTGAGCCATGGCAGTAGTTCTCAGTCAGAGAGGGAGAGGAAAACAGGCAGTGGCAGTTTTTCTAGGCTCAGCCTGCAGTTTTTAGTTGTGAGAGAGAAATTGTAAGGTAAATAGAGGCGAAGGGGTGCAGATTGAGTCTCAGACCCTCTGCTATCAGGCAAGCCAGCTGGGCTATAGCGGGCCGCAAATGACCTAGAAGGTGAGGTGGGGAGGGCAAGTAGGGAGCCAGCCCTCTTGTTACAGGCGAGTCGGCTGGGCTGTAACCAGCCAGCTGCAAATGGTGGAGGAGTGGGGGAAGTTTACTCTAGACTAGCAGGCAGAGCTCGGAAAGCTAACCCCTGGGGGAGGGGCAAACCTCTTGGCAGGCAGAGCGTGGGAAGATTCTTTTGGGGGGGAGGGGTAAAGAATGGTGATTAAAGAGTCTCCATCATTTTGTGGGGAACACGTGGAAAGAGAAACTTAGTTTTTTGAATTAGGCGGAAGTTAGATTGTAGTTAACAATTAGAGGAAAGACGTTAGTCGCGAACATGAGAAGGAGGGATGAGGTAGAGGGTGGGTGGACAGAGGTGTAAGTCATGGTTTTTGCAGGCACCAGTGGGGAGAGCTTCTGAGCTGGCTTTGTGTGTATTGTCCACCACTAACCAGAGGGAGATGGTGTCTCGTGTGTCTTGGGAGCACTCGGGCTTGGAGTTGTCTACATCTCTTGTCTGGAGCAGAAATCTCAGGGGGGTGGAGATCGTTGTAGAAGCGGGTGCAGAAAGCTTGGTGTTTAGGTAGGAATGAACTAGTCAGATCTCAGCAGGCCTTTGCATAAGGGCTCCTGTATCTCTGCTCTGGGCTCTAAACGCCACAGGGTGAGAGCACAGTAGGGCAGAGATAGTGGAGACACGTGGCTGTGTGCCTGAACAGGCCAGCACGTTGATTCAGCTTCTATTTCCAGGGTCTGTGATGCACAGTAAAATAGAAGTGAGAGAGCATACGCAGGGCGTGCGCTGGGAAAACAGGAGTCTAGACGTTGTCCTGTTGGAAGTGATTTTTTCATTCTTGGAGTTCGTGCCACATTGGTCACCAGATGTTGGGCAGATCTCACGCCAGGGTCATGCGGGGGTGGCCTGGGCATGGGCAAAGGCCAGTGCCCGTGCGCCCACACGCAGATGTCAGGGCAGTCCCAGGAGCAGCAACCTTGGCCGGGAGTGACACTCTCTGCTACAAGCGGCTGGAGAGTCCCGAAAGCAGAGACGCCCAGACACTGTGTGCCAGATGAGACGTGGGGGCTCGAACAAAAGCGGGTGCACCAATGCTCAGCAAGAGCGTGGCATCGTGAGAACCTCGGCTCTCAGGAGAAAGTGTCCCACAGCTCGCTAGCTCTTTCCCACTTCTGCCCCATCACGTGGGTTTTGGCTTACGCAATGAGTCCAGGATTTCACGAGACATGTGGAGATTTAAGATGCATTGATTTATTAACAGATGTTGGATTTGGGTAGTGGAGCTTTCCCGAAACATGTTGGAAGGTGTTTGTTTATATATCAGAAGCAGGGGCGGGGGGAGAAGGGCAGGGCCAGAGACATCTTGAGGCAGAGATTTGTTCTCTCCGCCTTCTATTTGGGACATGGAGACCTCGTGGCAGGGCTCTGGGGGCGTGGTCAAACACCCAAGATTTTTAGTCCCACAATGGCAGTTATAAGTAGGGGCCAAGGTCAATTTGCAGTGGCACTAAAGGCTGTCTGACACTGATAGCCACAACACTTCCTCCATGGAGTCAGGATGGACTTGGTATGGGCTCCTTATTCTTCAGTTTTTCATACATCCTGTCCAGGTTTTTTGTAATTCTGAAACTTCTATTTCTAGATTTGTATATCAGTTTTATCATAGATTGACTCCAGTGTTGGAGCTATTAAGGCCTCATTAAATACCAATCATATGGGTAAGAGCAAGATTGATCAGAGTGTAATAAGGTCCAATTCTGATGACCTAAGTTCCCCCCTTGAGATTGACAAGGTGGAAGGACTTACAACAAATGATTCTTACACCTCCATATCTGAACTACAAATAACCTGGGAGCACACACACATGCACACACAAATGTCCACGAGCAAAATAAAGGCAAATAGTATTATTTGTTAAATGGATGTGTGACTGTGAAGCTGACCTTGGCAGGAGCTGGCTACTAGAGGAGACCCATCACAACAGTGGAGAGAACAGGGGCTGTGGACTCTAAAAGCACCAGAATTTCAGTGTGTTTTATTGAAACAAATGTGATCTAATAGGGAGAGGGTCCATGCAGATCCTAAGATGACTGTAGGAACAAGGGAGGCTGGAAGCAGCCTCAGTAAACTGAGTCATCAAAGCACAGGTGTTTTAAAAATGCTGGTCACAGTCAAAGCTCCTGCATTTGCCCATCTCTCCTGTGACATCTTACTGTGACCTTCTCATAGAAGCCTTTTGGCTTCTCCTGTTACAGCTCTCTGCCCAGATGAGGGAAAAGGGTCCTGATATCCCAGATGAGCTCCAAAATTCATGCTGTGCTTTTCCAAAAGGTTAAAGATAGAAAAGAAACAGCACAGGTGACTTTGCCCTGACTCCTGACCATTGACTCCTATCATTTTTCCCTAATCACTTCTCCTACAATAAGAACTTTGATCAACCACAGGTTCCCTACCTAAATATTTTGGTTTAAATTCCTGCCTGAGTAAGACTTACACATTCTGCTTCCTGTTTGTGAAATGTGGTCCTACTAGCAGCACAGACTCAGGCCTGAGAGCCGACCATGCCACGGAAACAACTGCATAGCTGGCTCAATGCTGTGTTCTTTGGGCTCCTGCTTCTCATCCATGTGCAGGGTGAGGCTCACTAAACTAGCAATGGGGAATGACTGAAGTTGAAGCTGCCCATTTCTGCAGGTCAGAGTTGAGCTTGTGGGAGGGAAGGCATGGAGGGCAGTTGCTGATGGAAATTATGCATAGTGATTCTCAACCTGTGGGTCATGACCATTGAAATCCCATGTTTCTGATGGTATTAGAACCACCCAGACATATATTTATTTTTGTTACAGCTTCCTAACTGTAATATTGCTCCTCAATGGTTTCTCAGCTCTGAAGAGGATCATAAATATGTGTTTTCCAATGGTCTTGACCCACAGGTTGATGACTGGTACAATTAATAAAAGTATGAGAGGCATGCCAAACAATTCCCCAACAAAAGCACACACATTTTGTGGACCCTCTAGCACCTAGAGGGTCAGAGACATCTAAGATTCCTCTATATTGAAGAGACAGTTTAGTATTAGGAGCTCTGGAAAGAATAGAAGACAATTCAATGAAAAAATGTGGAGGTATTTTTCACTCATTAGTGTTTGCCTATGACTGTAGCTACTATTGAACTTTGGATAACAGTGACAATCATCATGAATTCTTGTGGCCAAATGGTTCTGAGTCTGTGACTTGTATGAACAGAAAAGTGCTCTGGTACACTTCAAAGGGGTAATTGGAAAGGTTCCTGGGACTAAGGGTTAGAGTAACTCCCACATTCATACCCCATGGGTGAACTGGGGCAGAGGTCTGGGTTTCCTTCTTCTGTGCCGTGATAAGAGTGAGATGGAAATCTCACAACATGCTGGTAGCTGATTACCCATGAGGCCAGCCCCATTAGAAACACATATACTGGCCAGGTCCAAAGCAAGCTCGTCCTCCAGAAGGATACTAAATCTGGTGTCCACACCTTCCTGGGAATTCCCTTTGCCAAGCCTCCTGTAGGACCACTGTGCTTTGCACATCCTGAGGCCCCTGAGCCATGGAGTGGTGTAAGAGATGGGCTTCACATCCATCCATGTAAGTTCTGGACCCAGAAGGCTTCAGGCACTGGGGAGACTGTGCTCCAAGCTCTGGGCCATGCTAAAGTGTCTCATCCATCTCAGCTTCTCAGCAGTTTTCTCTCCTTGGGGATGAGTGGCATATTCATCAAAGTTGAGTTCACAGTAATCTCCCAGGAATCTATGTGCAGAGTCACATAAGTAAGCCTCAAGAACATCTTGACATGGGGCACCATGTAGACATGACTGGGATCCACAGTCATCAATTTCCAACTCAGTATTTACCAGAGTACTCTTGAGTACAGACACATGTATCTTCCTATATATTGAGGTATTCAGCACCATTCATGCAGGGAAAAGAAACACATTTATATACGTTCAAGTCACAATGCCTGACTTGATATCCACATGCACAGAAGCAGGAAGAGCTATTGATGTCATCCTGGCACATAACCCCATGGTGGCAAGGTCTGAAAGCACTCTCATTCTGCTCTGTCTTACAAAAACCTACCAGCATATCCAGCAGGGGAGATGCAGGCATGCTGCTCAGAGTTTATGTGCCAGGTGCCTCTGTGTTGGTAGGCACTCCCTCCACAGGAGTTAGTTGCAGTCTCCAAGGTCAGCCCACTCTAGCTAGGATGCTATTGAATGTCAGGTACCATTGAGAAGAACAAGGATAAAATTGTTCACAGATTCAAATTAAGTCCAGTGTCCTCTGCCTCAGTAGGAGGGATTTCCAGGCATGAGTTAATGTGACCTATTAGGTGTTGGTCATCCCTGAATCCAGGAGAATATACTTCAGGTCTCTGAGGAGTGCAACAGTGATCAATACTTGCTAACTCCACCTTCACGGTCACTGTGACAATCTATAGGGTCATGTGCCATTGACCAGGGAACAAGTGTATGTAATTAATTCCTTCTGGAGACACTTTAGACAAGAGAAGCTGCCTGAGAGTCTGTACATGTGATGAAGGCCCACTCACTACTCCTTAGGGCAGCATTGCCCACTGCATCCTCTAGTACATGAGTGAGTCCAACACTCCAATATGGGGTTCTTAGATTGTTTTCTGCTGCCTTAACAAAGCACTGACAAAAACATTTTAGGGAAGAAAAGTACTATTAGAGGCTCCAGAGTACAATTTATCATTTGAGTAAACACAGTGAATCAAAACTTCAGAAGCTGCCCACATCACAGCCATGCCCAGGAACAGAGACTAGAGAATGCTTGCATCCATGCTAACACTTAACTTGATTTTCTGTTCTTATACAATCCCATGAACATCACTATAGACAGCCAATCATTTCTACGTAGACACCTTGATGTTTATCTATCCCAGACTCAGAAAGATAAAAACCCAGGCTCCACAAGACTGATGGCCTCCCTAAAAATCTATCTCCAACACAGTTTTCACAGGCCCTGTGGCTGAGAGGAAATCTCCACACTCACATTGGGTTTTGATCACCATCTGTGTCTTGGAGTATCTGTCTGGTCTTTTCATCAGGTGTCTGAAAAATCTTGAACTATTGTATCCAGAGTGCCTGAAGGAGATGAAACTGAACCTGTTTCCGTTCTCTATGTCAGAAGAATGCCTGTATCTCAACATATACACACCAGCCCATGCCCAGGAGGGCTCTAACCTACCAGTGAGTATCAGGCCATGTCCACCTTCGGGAGAGATCATTTTTGTCAAGATGATAAGAAGGGGCAAACCTGAGTTCCATTGCAGGGTGGACCCTGATGAAATTCTTAGCTTACCGGGGTCAAATGCCATCTCAGCTACATGATGCAGCTGAAACCTGGGTGTGCCATCAAAAGTTCCAGCTCTTTGATACAACCAGAACTCATTCTACAACTTGTGCTCTGACTTAGGGGCTCAAAACCTCAACACTGAGGTCACCCCAATGTATACGTTTGGATTATTACTTATGACAATGAGAGTTGATCATTCTTTCCATTTTTAATCTGGAAAAATATCCATGGAGACACCTCTCTTTGTTCCACTGTCAAGACCTCGAAAAATGATGACATCACTCTATACATAGAGGCATTAATTGAAAGTGCAACACATGGTGGGAATGGGCCCTAGTAGCTACTAGAGGCCCCTGGCTCTAGCCAAGGACCTGAAATCCTTAGGAGTTTTATGTTTTTTTTGTAGCTGCACAGAAACACAATAGTTGCTATTCTAGTAAACAGACCAGAGAGTTTGGACAGGCTAGGACTTTCCTATTACCTCTCTTGACTCCTCCAGGTGATGGTATGGACCCATGGTGGTGGACTGGTTACAGGCACGGCTTCCATGTATGATGAGTTCACACTGGCAGCTACTGAAGATATGGTCATGGTCATTATCCAGTTTTTTCTTGGTGTCTTGGGCTTCTTCAGGTGAGTTTGTGGCTGGGCTGGGCAATGGTTGCTGATCATAAATTAGACATTCGTTTGATCCATAACCCTTCCAATTCTCAGCACTGGAGACCAGCATGCAAATGGCAACTGGGGATACCTGTACCAAGTGGCTGCCCTACGCTGGGTCCAGCCAAACATCACCTACTTTGGAGGCAACTTTAACTGTGTCACTATTTTTGACAAGTCTTCAGGTGGCACAATTGTGTCTTCACATATTGTGTCCCCCATGTCCCAAGTGCTCTTCCATGGAGTCATCATGAGAAGTGGAATAGCACTGCTACCTTACCTTATCTCCAACACCTCTGAGATGGTCTATACTGTAAGTGCTCTCAACCTTGCTGCCTAAGCCTTTATATCCTGGTACTCTGGTGTGGATTCATTGGGGAAATCAAGGACCATGGAAAACAGCCTCTTTCCAATAATTTCAGAGAAACTCAGGGGTTAGCACCTATTCACCTCTACTTCATACTGAGTGGCTATGTTATCTGACCAGCAAACTAGTCCTTGATGCTTCTATCATTGGCAAAGTAAGTAAACATGTACTTGGAAGCTGCTTCATTGATTTTTAAAGTGCTGGGAGTGCAAGCCTGAGGATTTAAGCTCAAGCACCCAGAATCCCCAAAAGGCTAGAGATAGTAACACATAATGGTAAATAATATGTTCCTCTGGTCCAGTGGGAGCCAGAGACTAGAGAATCTCTGGATGTTCACAGACCAGCTAGGTAGTCTATGCAACAAATAGAAAAAGACACCCTGTTAAATAAGGGGGCAGGTAGACTGATATTTTGTCCTCTAATCTTCATGCAGAAACCTTGATAGACTTACTCCTTACCTCGTATATAAAATACAAAAAGGGCAATGGAGAAAACAAAGCTACCCTGAACAAAAAGAACATGTATGCAAGTAGAAAGGGTACTGCTTCCTAGCTACCACCTTTGAGCAATAGGACTATGAGAACAACATGGATTTGTCCCAATCCACAAAACACACACTATAGTGTGGGAATTAGGCACAACTGCATTGACTTGGAATTGAGAACTCTTCTCCATGCTTGTTCCCCTTTGCAGACCATGGCCAAGCTCTCTGGATGTGGGGCCATGGACTCAGAGTTTCTTGTGAGCTGTCTGAGAAGCAAGAGTGAAGCAGAGATTCTGGCTATTAACGAGGTTGGCAGAATTGTGTGTCTGGGACAACCTTGTCTACATGGTGTGGCATTCTGAACCAAAAACCCTTCTTTTTTGTTCTTTCAGTTCTATGTGCAAACTGAATATCAAGATAGGCTAATCTAAGTCAATATTCTCCTCCAGGGTGAGCAGATCACCCTGAAACTAATGAGAAAAAGGTGGAGCTGACTCAGTGGATATCAGAATATTTATTTCATTAACCTTCAGCATTGACTTATAATGCCTCACAGGTCTTCTTCCTGATCCCTGCTGTGATGGATGGAGAGTTCCTACCCAGGCATCCCAAAGAGTTGTTGACATCTGAGGATTTTCACCCTGTCCCCAGGATCATTGGTGTCAACAATGATGAGTATGTTTGGACAATCCCCAGGGTCAGTCACAATTCCAGTCATCTGGGAGCCTAGAAGCTCATATGCTAAGCAGATGAATTGATGGAAATGCAATATATCTTTAATCCAAGTCCATCAGACATCACTTAAGACTGTCTTCTGCCTCCCAGGTCATGGGCTCTACTCAGACAATAAAGGAAATAACCAGAAAGAACCTGCAGGCTGTTCTCAAGAATACAACAGCAGAACTGGTGAGATATTTCTGGTCCTGTCCAAATAGTCGGATCCCTCATATCTTCTCTGACAGCATCCCTATTAATAAAAATCAGCATACATGTATGATTTTGCATGGGGTTACCTCAGATCATGATTCTTTTTACCTATACCCTATGTCATCGCTGGTGCCGTTCTCCTAATACTGAAGGCAGTTCCCAACCCACAATACGCCAACTTCAATGTTCCTGATCTCCATGGTGTAGATGCTACCTCCTGAGTGTAGTGACCTGCTAATGGAAGAGTACATGGGGGACAGTGAAGATTCCCAGACCCTCCAAATACAGTTCACAGAGATGATGGCAGACTTTGTGTTTGTGATCCCTGCACTCCAAGTAGCACATTTTCAGAGTGAGTACATCTGTGATAAGGTTTAGGGGAGCAGCTCTGAAATGGGGGTCATGGGTGAGCACTGTGTAATGCAGTGCTGTCCAAGGCTCCTCATGTCTACGTTAAGAGAGTGAAATTGGGTACTGAGGAGAAAGTAGGTTCCTGATACTCTATTGACCTAAGAAAACCACTAAGTTGGGAAGGCCATGGGCACTGATTAGTCAAGGGATTTTTCATAGTTAGTGCTCCAGTATGGGGCTCCTTTCACCATTTAACTTTTGTGATTCCTGGTAACTTTTTATCAAGGTATCTTGTCACCACATATGAATCAGAAAAAAATTCAGGTGAGGGGCCACTATGTCTCTCCTTTTCCCACCACCAGCTTTCCATTCCCCTTTCTACTTCTATGAATTCCAACATAAATCCAGCTTCTTCAACTACATCAGACCACCCCACATGAAGGCTGACAATGCTGATGAGGTTCCTTTTGTCTTTGGGTGCTTGCTCTTTCTGATGAAATGTGAATCTTAATTATTATTATTATTATTATTATCATTATGGCTGAATGAGGTTCCAGATGACTTCCTGGGTGACTGCTGAGCTCTCAGTCCATTTGAGAAAATCTAGGTTCTGAGAGAAAACAAAATCAAATGTGTACAATATCATGGCCCAAAAATCTATAAGAGTTTAGAATCTGCATCCTTCCCAGTCTAGCCTGTGGTGGAGGATCTGAAAGCACATTGGGGCAAGAATTCAATTAGAGGCTCACATTGATCTTTGGTACTGGATAATGAAGAAGCAAGACAGCAAACTAGTACTTTCGGGTCCAACAACAGTTGGGACTGTGAGTGTTGCATGAGGTGGCATATACTTGAATTTTTGTCTTTCTCATGACTCCAGTTGTCATCACTTAGGAGGAAATGCTGCTGAAACAGAGGATGATGAAATACTGGGCCAACTTTGCAAGACATGGGTGAAAACACACCTCTTTCCCAATATGTCAGTTGTGTGTTTCTATCTAGGGCTAAATTCTAGATGGTGACTTTCTTAGAATGCATGAATCTTTGATCTCATGATGGAGTCTTCTCTACACAATAGTCCATTACAGGAATACTTTGTAGTTGTCAGATACTGCCCACCTCATGGGGACATAACTGGTAGGATATAGTGCTGTGGTACTGCTCTTTAGATCTTGCCTCATAGAGTGAGACATAAAAGATCTCATGAAGTCTTCCTTGAAGGCCAGAAGGCTGCAGTTCCGGACCAAGACTCTGCCCCAGAAAATTTAAGAGTTAAATAGCTCTAAAAATATGTACAAAGATGTGTAGTACCCTTTGTGAGGAATGGTGTATGAGGTTGACTGCTGAGGAAGCCAGCTTCAGTTTCCCAGAACATATTGATACCTGATTTGATTCTAATATTCACAAAACCTCCATACTTGTCTGGTTTTCTTTTTATTTCTCACAAATTCTCTGCTTATGACTCTTTATCAATCCAAGTCATCTTTGGTTAGATCCACTTGATAAATGCTCCCATAACCATGGATTTTTGAGCCCCACAATGCTCCATCTCCTTTCAGAGTTCACTAGAATTAGGCCCTTTTATCCTTGCTTGCTTAATCTCTTGTCCTCATCCTGTCCTCTTCTCTATGAACTCTTTAAGTGTGGGGCCAGCAATGTGTGGGACTGTGGGAGCTAGCCTAAATTAAGAGTGGTTTGAAGTATGTTAAAACCCCAGAAATTTCTTCCTGAGTTTAGAAGTAGGACTGTTCCCCCTACCCCTGGGACCTTCTGAAGTCGTGTCCTACATCACCTGGAATTCCTCTTTATGTACCCATGTCACAGCCTATGATGTACTCTCACCCCAAAAACTCCTACCCACTCTCCAGTGGTTTAATTACCCTTTGCTCCCCCCCCCATTAAATCAAGCAGTCTCACCAAAGCTGTCTCCTGAGATTCTGTTCCAGATGCAGTCATGCTGCCTGAGGTCCCCCCACCCACAACCATTCCTGCCTTGCTTTCCTTCTCAGAATTCAACAACTGTGATTGCAGACAGATGGAGCAGTGAGAGGCAAGGAGTGGAGATTACATCCTATATCTTCTTATACTCTCAGAGTCACCAAGTCAATGTGTCTTAACTCTCCTGCCTTTCTCTGATAAAATAGTACTACAAGTTCCTGTTAATTCCCTTTTCAAGGTTTCTACATGCCTGTAAGGATTTTTTGCCAGGTTTATGTCTATGAGTGAGATCTTGCTTTACAGCTAGAAGGGAACCAAAAGAAAAGGGAGGACTTGGGTTTTCTTGGACTGTGTCTCACAGTCTCACTGAGTGCCATGGGAGCTGCCGGAATAGCATTCAAAGACACCATCTGGCTGTCGACTTCCAGGACAAGTTTGACCAGGCCATGGCTTCTACCTTGAACAGCCTCTAGTCCCTTCAACTACAGATAACCTCCCTCATGGGGATTGTCCTACAAAACAGGAGATCGTTCAATCCACTGACGCTAAGCACAGAGGAACTTGTGTTGTACTAGGGGAGAAATGCTGTTTCTATATTAATGAGTCTGGCTAGTTGAACTAAACATACAGGTATTTAGGGATCTCCTGCCACACCTCTGAGCCTGTTATGACCCAAGTACCTCCACACCACGGTACTCAAACCCTCTGATAGCTTGTCTTCCTCCTCTCCTTGGCCATGCTCTGGCAATTTGGGGTCTTCCTCCTCCTGTATTCCTGTTTCATCCAATTTCTAAAACAGCAGCTAAGCAACAATGCCAAAATCACTACCAATCAGTTTCTGGTACAATACCAAACCACTCCTAACCTAGAGGCTGATGACTATGATAATATGTCCCATTTTAAAAATCAAACTGGGGAGATGTGGAGCCAGGGTACTGATCTCAAGTAAGAGTGGAGTGGAGTTATATCCACACCCCATAAATCTGGTCCTGAGATCTGCTGGAGTAGTACTGACTCCCACCCATAGCCCTGGCTTGCATGTCCACATGCACACCTCCCTATGTCTCCACCCTTGTCACACAGAGGATGTCACACAGCCTGGTAGCTATGTTAAACTTCCTTTCCCCTTATAAGGTCATGTCCTGTAATACCTGGAAACCCTCCTTAATGAAGGATCCCTGTACCTGGGTCCCAGCCAATGATATACACACTCCCTAAAGACTACTCCCGACCCCCCAAAGGTTTAAATAACCTTTGTTTCTCCCATTAAATTGAGCCGACTCGCTGAAGCTGTCTCCCAAGGGTCTGTTCTCATCTAGGTCAGACCACTTGAGGTCCCTTCACCCCAGGCTATCCCCTTCACTTCCCCTCTCAGGATCCCTGTGAGGAACAGGGAATGGAGCCTGAATGGCATTTAAGTAAAGCAGAAGTTTTGAAGAATGTTGATATGGGTTTTCCAAAGAATTCATATCTTATGTGTGGCCATGTAAAAGTCACATGCTCTCTCTCCTCAAGTTCATACTTTTGGAGACCATGAATTCCAAGGCCAAGATAACAGCAAGTTTGCTGTATGTGTTCTTTGACTCAAAGAGAATATCTTGTGTTTTCACTAAATAGATAAAATAATTAATAGTTCTCATGACCTAGACATCTAATGGGACTCACTCTTACTAATATCCCATTGAAGCCTGTTTTAATATAGAAATATGATTCATAGGTACTTTCAAATCAACATATTGATGTTCCCATACCAGTTACTGGAGTTGAAAACGTCTTAAATTGTCTCTACCTATTCTGTTTGTAGATTAAAAGTCACCTACAATTTCATTTAAGATAATCTGTTTATTCTTGGATATTTGTTTACTTATTTCACCCTTCTGATCACTGAACATCATTCATCTCATCTGTCCCAAAGTAATTACTGGCATAATTCATATGAAAATTAGGTTCAGGATATATCATCTCCTCAAGTTTTGGACAATGTGTGTGTGTGCGTGTGCATGTGTGTGTATGTGTGTGTGTGTATGTGCCTGTGTGTGTGATTTTGGGTGTTCTATATGGTTTGTTGTATGTACATGTGAGTATGCACGTGTGCACACATTCATACAGCACATGTGTATGCAGGTGGTTGTGTGTGTGTGTGTAGGTGCATCTCCATGTGTATATGAGATACATTTGTGTGCCTTATTGTATGTGTTTGTATGTGTGTCTAGAAGAACTAGGTTGTTACTTTGTGTCTAATGAAGTTTATCCTTACCTCTAAGGTCCTGAGGACATGGTAAAGCCCATATTTGTATGATCACAAAATATTTGTGAGGGTAATTTTACTATAGGGTGAGTCCTAGTAGCATACAGGGTGGGGAGGTCAGAAGGTCTCTACATGTGCAATAGAGGTTGCTATTCCTGGTCTATGTATGGGGAATACTCTGATGTCCAGTTTCCTTAAAACCTCCTCTACCCTGTGATGACCCTCATTGCCTTGATGGTCCACTGTATGACTTTCATTCTTATCTCTTTCCTGCTACTAAGGATTTTTGGTCTTTTGAATAAATACTACCTCTTTTACATCACGTAATTACACAGAGGTGTGAGATTATGCTTAAACTATTTGAATTCTCCTAAAACACTTTCTCTTTGTCACTAAGAGGTCAGATCTTTCCTGCTAGGGACCTTGATATGTCATATTCCACTACCTCTGATCAGCTTGCCCTACAAGTCAAGTTTTTCCAGTTTCGCAATGTCCCCTTATTAAAATCCAGTGCAAGGAAGAGCAACCAC